AGGGGTGACCACCAGTATCTGGGGGAACGTTTGTTCACCAGAGCGCCCCAAGGGATGACGAGGTCGAATGGTCACAAACTACTTCAAGATCGTTTCAGGCTGGGCATAAGGAAGAACTTCTTTACTGTCCGAGCCCCCAAGGTCTGGAACAGCCTGCCACCGGAGGTGGTTCAAGCGCCTTCATTGAACACCTTCAAGATGAAACTGGATGCTTATCTTGCTGGGATCCTATGACCCCAGCTGACTTCCTGCCCTTTGGGCAGGGGGCTGGCGTCGATGATCTTTCGAGGTCCCTTCCAGCCCTAATGGCTATGAAATCTATGAAATCTATAATTGTTCTTAGGGGACTTAGATCAAGAGGGTTATTGTGAAAGTGTGCATGACTCATTATGCAAAACACGTAGCAGAGCTAAATCCCATACAGCAAAGGCTACAATATAGAGTGAGAAACAAGTTGAGATTTAATGGCATTTTGTAGCTTACTGATGGGACAGGCTACTTGTGAAAATTTGTTAATATACTGTTTTCAGATTGCAGTTGCTTTATCTGAATTGCAGGCTTGGAGAATCCAGGAGTGTAAGATGATATTTATAGTAATCAGAAGCTCTTTGCTAGACTAATATTATATTGATAATGTTACTTATTTATAGACGGGAGCAATCAGAGTGTATTTTATAAAGTGGGAGCCAGCAGGAGAGGAGCAACTTGACAGTGATTGAAGTAACTGAAAAAATCTGTCATTCCTTTACACAGAGTAATGGAAAAAAAGGAAATATATCAAATGCAGGATGAGGAACCTTTAGAAGTGCATTTATTCTATCTCAGTGTTACTTTTTAATGGCTATTTCCTACATGAATAATTATGTCCTAGTTTTCTTCATCTACTGACTATTTAGCATTATACATTACTGTGTTTTAATATAATTATATTTACATTTCTAACAGATATTCATCCTTGTTCTTTGAAACCGTGCACAAATAATTCAACTTGTATAGAGACTGGAGATGGAGGATATATTTGTTTGTGTGCCCAGGGATTTACAGGGAAAAACTGCCATCTGAAGAAAGGGCCCTGTGTTATTAATGGGTAAGTATTGATTTCTGATGTAAACCTTCATGATTCTTAATTTCACTATTATTTTTCCAGGTTTCTTTCTTAAAAATCACAAAATGTTAGTGGTGCAGCACAAGTGTTTTCAATGTGGTTTTTATGCTTTTGCTTCTAGTCTGTTAAGCAAAACTGCTCATTCTAATTAATTCCTCTTCCACGTCGGGTCAAAGTTTTATCCGGAGTTTTTGTGTTTAATTTGAAAACCAAAGTTGAAAATTTTCACATGTTGTTGTGATAATTTTATATTTGTGTTTCCTTTTTTTCCTGTTACCTTGTGAACGTGTTTCCCATATTCAAAGTCCTTCTGACATATAATTAAAAATGTCGTTCCCTTAGGACAAACAGAGCAGTGGCCACCCACCAACCATTTCCTGCTCAAAATAACCCAGCCCCAAGCCAGGGATTTAAGTTGGAAGATTTTTCTCTTTACAGGAGCAGAGAAGAAGGGCCATGGGAAGTGCACTGTTTTCTCAGGCAAGGGAGGAGTGAGGGAAATTCCTTTTTTTTTCAAGTAAACGGAAATTACATAGTCCTTACATGAGCCCCAGATTCTCTAAATTCAGCAAGGCGCAGGACTCCCAAAATTATCTAAACAGGTAGGCTTTGTAGCAGTGTTCAAAGGTCAACAAATATGGGCTATTTAGACTGGTGAAGCAGAAGGGGATTAAAGCCTGAGGTGGAGGAGCTTCCAGCAGCAGCATTTCTTCTTGTACAGAAAGGACAGGGTGGGGAAAAAAGGGGAGGGGTTGCGCTCCATGTCAGTGAGCAATATACGTCAACCCTCATCAAGACGGAATCCAAGGATGAGGAAGTAGAAGGATTGTGGGTTAGGCTACATGGGGGGCAAGGAGAAAGGGATTTGGTGGCAGGGGTCTGCTACAGACCCCCACATCAAGGGAAAGAAAGGGATTCGGGGCTCCTGAGGCAACTCTCGGAGACCATAAAAGCTAAAGAGGCGGTAATCATGGGGGACCTAAACTACCCGGACATCTGCTGGGAGTCACAGACAGCAAAGTCCCACTGCTCACACAGGTTTCTAACCTGTGTACAGGACCTCCACCTGACACAGGAGGTACACAGTCCCACTAGGGGGAATGCCATACTGGATCTGGTATTGGCAACGGGGGATGATATGGTAGGGGACCTACAGATCGGTAGCCATCTGGGGGACAGTGATCACCTAATAATAGAATTCACCATAAGACGTCGAGTGGGTAAGGTAACTACTAGGGTGAAAGTGCTAGACTTTAGAAAAGCTGATCTCAATGAACTCAGGCGAGTAGTCAAGGACGCACTGCAGAGTAGGAGTTTTGAAGTGATGGGAGCCCAAGAAGGGTGGCTGTGCCTTAAGGAAACGATCCTTCGGGCACAAAGCAAGACGATCCCCGAGCGAGGCAAAAGGGGGAAAGGGGCCAGGAGGCTTCCCTGGCTGACCAGAGAAATCCAGGGCAGCCTAAGGGACAAAAGGGGAGCACATAAAAAGTGAAAACAGGGAGAGATCACCAAAGACGAATATACCTCCCCTGCTCGTGCTTGTAGGGAGGCAGTTAGACGGGCCAAAGCTGCCATGGAGCTGAGGATGGCAACCCAAGTAAAAGACAACAAGAAATTGTTTTTTAGATATATTGGGAGTAAAAGGAAGGCCCAGGGAGGAATAGGACCCCTGCTAAATGGGCAGAAACAATTGGTGACAGACAGAGGGGTTTATTCACCAAGGCGCCCCCGGGGGTTACAAGAAATAATGGCCACAAGCTAGCAGAGAGCAGATTTAGACTGGACATTAGGAAGAACTTCTTCACAGTTCGAGTGGCCAAGGTCTGGAATGGGCTCCCAAGGGAGGTGGTGCTCTCCCCTACCCTGGGGGTCTTCAAGAGGAGGTTGGATATGCATCTAGGTGGGGTCATCTAGACCCAGCACTCATTCCTGCTTATGCAGGGGGCCGGACTCGATGATCTATTGAGGTCCCTTCCGACCCTAACATCTATGAATCTATGAATTCTCCAGCCAAGAGACTGCAGAACTGCTGCTTATCTCAGGGGGTTGGGCCCAAATGCTCATTTGTGTAGTCATATTGCTAAAACTGCCTTGCTGTTGTTTTTTGGGCCACATCCAAAGCCCAGTGAAGTCACCAGCCTGAGTCCCACTGATTTAGCCAGACTTTGGATTGTTCTGCTTAGAAGGAACTTACTGAACTGGCTTTGGCAGCTTTTCTCATCTAGTCACAACAGTGTATGGGACACAGCCAGTTTTAAATCTGGTTAATCATTTGTTTGCTCAATTGCCAAAACTGCATGTGTAGTCACAATACCAAAAGTATTAATTAGATACATGTATGAGTAGCCATATGGTACAAGGAGACATGCAGATGATACTGGTATGTGTTTACATGCAAGATAGGAAGTATTTTTTAGGTCTGAAGGATAAGCTACATCTTCTAAAATGAACAAAATCAGCATGAGTAAACAAAGTCAGTTAGGCATGTAATGAAAGATACAGGCAGATAAAAGGCTGAAACAATCATGTGGATCCAAAAGAACATAATCTCATGGAAGCCTGAGGTACTGTGATACTATAAAGTGCCAATGCAGTGCTATATTCATGGCTGAACTCAATTCACTGTGTACAAAATAGACCTTAAGGGAAAGGTCTCTGTATCTTAATAAAGAGGCATTTGACTTGCATTGTGACCACATATTATGTTGGCTGCACATTATATTGGTGACACTTTATGCAGGTAAGCTCTCTGAGTTCCCTGAAATGTCAGCCCAGCCTCTGACACAGCTCTGCATGTGCTCTGAGCTCCTCGAGCTCCCCAGCTGATCAATGCAGGCTCTAGTCTGCTTTCATGGACTCCAGAGCCAGTGGCTGCATGCTACCACTGTTCACCTTCCCTTCCTTCCCACCCTCTCCACTGAATTTAGCAGCAAGGAAAAAGAGGGGATGATTAGCAGTGGAGTTCAACCCCTGGGCTCTGGAGCTGTGTGAAAGCAGGGGCTCCAACCAGAGGCCCGTGCTGATCAGCTAGTGAACTCAAGGCTCCTGGCAAGTGTGGGGCTTTGGCAGAAGCTGTGCTATGATGCCAGGAAGCTCAGAGAGCTCACTGCACATGCACAATAAAGCTAACACAGGGTGTATCTGCACTACTACCCCTTCCTGCCACCCCAGTCTGCCCCTGAAAGCCAGCTCCAAACTAGGTAGCTCAGGTTCTAGAAGTAGTCTAGCTGCAATAGCATGAAGCTCCATGTGGGGTGTTTGATCTCACTTGCAGCAATGTAAATAAACTTGTGCAGAGCTCTGTGTTTCTATGGGTAAACTGCTACTGATCCCCATGGTAGCTTGACTATTTCTATATGTTATTGATGTGGGCAATACAAAAATGTAGCTATAACACTGGGTGCTTATTCCAGTGGCCTAACTGGGTTTGACCTCTGCAAATTTTCCTTCAAGTTCTATGATGAACAGGAAATGTGGTGATCAGACAACTTAAAGCATTATTTAATGTTAACAGTAGGAAAAAAGTAAAGAATGAGAGAGAAAGGATCATAAAACAATACATGGGTCACATGGATGTCTAGCTTACCTAAGAATAACTTTGGCTAGAATGAGAATGACTTGCTTGGGGTTCTGAAGAAGTTCAGCATCTCTTCCTTCACACAGCTCTTGAGCCCGGGGTGGGGGTGAGTGCCATCACTGCTGCTTTTCCCCTCTTTCCCCCTGCTGCTGAATTCAGTGGTGGCAGGGGAGGGGGAAAGGACAGGAGAAAGGAAGGTGAACCATGCAAAAGTCATATCTCCAGCCTGAACCTATGCCAATCAACTGATGAGCTCAGAGAGCTCATGACATGCAGAGCTTCCAGTAGGAACTGCATTGCCATGCCAGTGAACTCAGAGAGCTTGCTATGCATGTATCACGCAGCTGGAGGAGATTTAGCCACATGCATCTTTCTGCAATCCTGGGTCCACCTATGTTGAGGGGATAGCTCATTTTCCATGACCATTTAGTGCTTGACTTTTCTGTGGAGACTAAAATAAGGAGGGTAATTGTCCTAGCTTTTGTTGTGTTGATATCCATCAAATATGAATTGGAATGAGATAGTTGACTCAATGTACACAGGCTACAAAACAGCCACAAAATGTTAACTGAATTGGACACTGCTGATCTGGTCAAATTCAAATTTGGGACATAGCAGTGGAAGGTTTTTTTTTTATCCTTGTTACGCATCTTCTGAGCTCCCTCCAAGCTTCTTAATTTTGCATTAACATAGTTTACTGCGAAGTAAGCATGTGTGTGTAATCCTGAGTCAATTTGCTACCTAGAACCCAGGGGGTTCCTGGAGCAGCAGGGACCCATTGCAGGGCTGCAGGGAACTGAGTGAAAATCTTCTCCCTAATCCCTGCATGTGTGGACACCTGCCTGAAAACCTTTACTCCTGGTTAGCCTACACCAGAGTAAATCTAGGCTGGACTAAATGCATGTGTAGACATGCTCACTAAGTAGGATGTACATGATCAGCTCCCCAAGGTAGCTACATCCAGTAGATGGTATTACAGGGCCTGTCCATTAGGTGGCAGAAAAGCCAGTTTTTATTGAACAAATGGCTATCATAGAATAAAGTTGACCAAGGAAGTAGGCACATGATTGGTTCGTTGGTGTGACTTACCCTGATGCAGAGTTACTATTCACTTTCTGAGAGGAAACTCAAAGTAGAGTTAGACTGTTTATTGTATGTCCACCACATACCTACAATAAAGTCAATTTACTCTGTAGTAAATGTGTGACATGCCCACCTTCCTACCTAATTCCTTTGAAATACAGATTTTATTGTATGCATTTTCTCTGTTGACCTTACCTTTCTCTGTTAATATATATCCAAATGATTTGTCAAACATTTTTATTGTTTTAAAAGCTGTAATGTTTTGCAGTTCCAGAAATTCTTCTTGATTTTCCAATATACAGTGTGTGACATAAAGCTATAAATATACAATAAAAACAAACCCCCCCACATCTGGTTGCTATGCTTATATACTTTTTACATGGACCATTTCATAACTAGATTGTGCTATTACTAGTTAGTAAGGGGAGAAGTAAAAAGCCAAATTGGCCATGTGTCTTTATTCAGTTACTCAGGCAGCAAGCAGTCTTAGATCACAAGATCTAACTGGGCAAACAAAGTGGGCAACTTTGATTTAAAAAATAGTTTTGAATCTTTTCACATCTCTTGAGATAAGATTTGCATACTCGTATGAGCATCCTGGCCAAAATACATGCAGAAGAGATTGTAATATATAGTGGGACATTAGAATATAGCATGCATTGACAAAGATGATGAAGTTCATTCTTGAGTCAACTCTTGTGACTTCAGTAGATTTCCATTAGGAATCAATATGGATCACTATTTTATAAGGCAAATTAGCCTGTCCAGTTATATAAAAAGTTTCACTGTGGCTTATTCCATTTGCATTTTACTTAAACTCCTGTGTGTGATTTTTGTTATCTTTTGTTGTAGCTCTCCTTGTCAGAATGGAGGAACATGCGTTGATGATAATGGGTTTGCACCCCATGCCTCCTGTCTGTGCCTTCCTGGTTTTGCTGGCAACTTTTGTGAAATAGATACAGATGACTGTGAATCCAACCCTTGCAAAAATGGAGGAACATGCACAGATATTGGTGCAGGCTACAGCTGTCATTGCCCCCATGGTTATACAGGAAAATCCTGCAGCAGCCGTGTTATATTCTGTGCTAGCCACCCATGTGAAAATGGAGGAACATGTAATGAACATCCTGAAAGAGGATTTGAATGCCTTTGTAAGCCAGAATTTGTTGGTGGAACCTGCAAACATCCCAAAAGAAACACAAGTCTTGATGGCATCAATATAGAGACTAAACACACAGAGAGTTATAATTTACCCCCAAATGCTCATCAACAATCAGTGCATCATCAAGAACATGAAGTCTTGAAGATAACAATGAAAGAAACAATCCAAAATGCAGACCCTTTGCTCAATAAAAGCCAGGTGATATGTTTCATTGTACTGGGCTTACTTACCTGTCTTGTTGTTTTGGGTACTACTGGGATTGTATTTTTCTCAAAATGTGAAATGTGGCTTGCGAATGCCAAATATAGCCATCTTCTCCGGAAGAAAAAGAATTTTTTTTTGAAATCTAACAATGGGGAGAACCTCTCAGTTAACATTATTTTCCCAGAGAAGATCAAACTGACTAATTACACCAAGAACTATACAGCCATCTAGGCATCTTTGAAAGCCTAGCAGCAACTCGCAAGATTTAGTAGCAATATGTAAAATATATTCAACTTGTTACCTGTGGTGGCCATCCATGTTAGTAGTTACATTTGTTGTAGTTTGTGCTGAGTGGTAAAGAAATATACTGTATCTGTATTGTCAAATGAATTTTTCATTTCCGAAAATAAAAGTTAAAAAAAAAAAAAAGGTTACAAAGCAAGGGATGTTAATCTAATTTTTTTAAGGCATCTTTTTTTTTGTAAAATAAAAATATCTTGCCACAAGAGCTGTTTTCAGCTTTTTTGTATTGTGTACAGCCTGTTTGGGAAATACGGTACTTGTAAATTACTTATTAATCTAAAAATGCCTATTTTTAAAATAAACACTAATTAATGGCTATATTTATTAGTATTGAAAATTTATTATGCTGGAGGAAACTTGTCACAGACATTTATACCCAGTGCTCCTTTTCATTGGGATAAAGTCTTTGTAATCAATTTAAATCTGACTCATTGTTTTGAAGTTTCCTACAGAATAATACAGTGTTGCTAATATGTAGAAATAGTTGGGGAGAGAACAAAATTCCGTTGTGTGAAGATGAGAATTCCCCTTTCAGTTTTAAGGTAAGTGTTTGTCTTTTCATGGGTTACCTTAAAATTGCCTTTGACCATTATACCCCATATTACAGGCACTAACTTTGACTGGTCCCATAAATGTTAACAATAAACCACATCACCTGTTGTAATCCTAGAACTGTCTGGAGGCAAAGAAAAGATTGAAAATACTGTTGTCTACTGATACCCAGCTGAGTCTGTTTCAGGTTAAGGATCTCTTTAGCACAATGAGTCTCAACTAGAGTTATGCAGCACGCTGAGTACCATGACATCCTTTTAGGGGTATCATGGGGTGATGCTCCATACACCTACACAAAACACGTACACATGATTTACAAGATAAACCCTAAGATTTCAAATAGGTATCCATAGTGTTGAAAACATTCTGACCTGCTGTGGTCTTTCTGAGGTCTTTGCAACAGAATTGTTTGATTTTTCATAGTTCAAAAATAAGCTCAAACAAAGAGCTGGTGTTTTCCAAGGGGTGCCTGAAGTCTATCAAGGGGTGCCTTGAGTCCCAAAAGGTTGATAACCATTGCTCTAGCCAAGTGTCTACTGTTATTTCTCTTGCCTTGGGGATACAGGATGTTCCTGCACAATGAAATGGATGCTGTCTACATAAATAAAACCAGTAAAATTGCCTTTTGGTTTTCATCAACAATAACGTTGAGAGCTTGCTCAGAACCATTATGAACCCTTCTTCTAGTGATGCCATCCACAAGTAAGCAGATATATTTCTGACTTTTCTTTAAAAATTCCACTGACTCCCTGAATGAAGCCTTGGCACTTAATTTACATTCAAATAGTGCTTGCAATCTGCAGCTCAGTCAACTACAGAGAATGAAAAGACCTTGCTTGACCTGGAATACAGCTGCTCTGTATCAAGCTTTTTTTTTTTTTGCTGCTTCTTTCTTTGAAGACAAGTTTTGTTTCTCCTTTTGTTTTAGTAAAAACAAAATATCCGGTAAAAAGACCAGATATTCAAGAACGAAAAGCAACAGGGTATGTGAGCAAAGGGTTGTGAGGTTACATGAGTTTTTTTCTAAACTAACGTTCCTAAGAATATCTTAAGAACTAATACTTTACTCCCCTCTCTCCCCCCAGATTCATTTTTTAGCTTCTTTCAACTGCCTAATAATAGCTCTTCACATAAACTTACTGGCCGTTACTCAGAATGTCTGTAATGAAGAACACATCTATATTCAAGTATTTTACAAAAATGCATTTAGGTCATTACCATACGATTTTTTTTTTCTTTTAGTACTCTGCAATAAATAAAAGGTTTGATTTGTTAGTGCAAGGCTGTCCAGCTGCTGGTCTATGGACTGCATCCAGCCCATGATGGGTTCACGTGCAGCCCAGGGGCTCCCACCCAGCCACCACTCTCTTCGTTGCTCTTTCTCCTGCGGTGGCTGGAGTGTCTGAGGCAGGGCAGCACAGTGGAAGGGAGACAGCAGCACAGAGGATGGTTCATGCCGTGGTGGTTATTAGACCCGGACCCCATGAGGCGCCCAACAACTAGGGAGACGATGGTCCAATTGCTCATGGGTCCTTTTACTCATTAGCCAGAGCAGGCAGGGACCAAACACCAGGACACATTGCTTGCAACAGCTTTATTCAGAATGGAGACAGCTTCGACCGAGCTCCCTCACAGACTCCCAGTCTATGAACATGGGGCGCAGCACTGAACAATATTTTTTTCCCACATTTATACACTTTGGCTTATACTAATTAACATTTATTCCACCCTGTTCCTCCTGTTCCACCCATTTTTCCTCCCATCTTAACTCTGCCTCTGTTTACGGTTTGCTTCATTAGCATGGAATTGCCTATGCATTTTACTCATTTACATGTCTTTTTTGCTATGAGCGCACGTCTAAGACCTTGACTCCTTTTCTTTGGTCAATGGGTAGACTTTGACCAAACCCTGGAAGCTTCTGGAGGCTTCTTCACCAATCACCATTCACCTTTTCGCATATGTTCATTTCAGATTCTGTTAACAATTACATGTTGTTTTTCACATTCCAGTCTGTTTTTCTGTCTCAGGTTGTACCATTGTCCGCATTCCTAAAATGTCACCTCATTCACAGCATACAAACTCACTCAGATTCACTTGCTGCTTTTTCCTCAGAAAATGATCGACACAGTTAAGATGGTTACTTAGCATAAGCAAATGGATGACTTAGTTATCATTCTGACCTGTGGTCATCAGTTCTGCTAGGCCACAGGTCATGCCTTTCATAGAATCATAGAAGTAGGGTCGGAAGGGACCTTGTAGATCTTCAAGTCCGACCCCCTGCCTGGGCAGGAGAGAAACTGTGCTCAAGTGACCCCAGCCATGTAGGCATTGAGCCGCTTCTTAAAGACCCCCAGAGTAGGAGCCAGCACCACTTCCCTTGGAAGTTGGTTCCAGATCCTAGCCACCCTGACTGTGAAGTAGTTCCTACGGATGTCTAATCTGAACCTACTCTCCAACAACTTGTGGCCGTTATTTCTTGTTATCCCGGGAGGCGCTGGGGGAAACAAGGTCTCCCCCAAACCCTTCTGGTCCCCCCTAGTGAGTTTATAGACGGTCACAAGGTCCCCCCTCAGCTTTCTCTTGTGAAGGCTGAACAGGTTCAGGTCCCATAGCCACTCATTGTAGGGTCTGCTCTGCAGTCCCCGGATCATGCGGGTGGCCCTCCTCTGGACCCTCTCAATGTTGTCCACATCCCTCTTGAAGTGGGGTGCCCAGAACTGGACACAGTACTCCAGCTGTGGCCTGACCAGTGTC